AGTATATATTAGTATACCAGTCAATCAGTTGGGTTGTCAGTCAGTGAGCCAGTCATCGTTCAGTCGATCAATACCTTTTAATAACGGTAGATATGACGTTCCTTTACTCGATGTGTAGGTTTTGTACAAGTCAATATCTACGCTATGTTCAGTTGTATGCGATGTTTCCGTTGTAGGTACATGTTGGTTAGTAACTTTAGGCAGCTCAGAAAACCATGTAGTATCAGTGATATGATTGACATCGTCATAAAATTCAAAGTCTTCGATTTCTGGGCCATCACTGATTTTACTGGTCTGGAAGACAATACAAAGGAGAGATTTCATAAAACACCTGCGACTAGAGTATGTATTTCTCAACTATGCTGGGGTTATGCTGAACACTAACAAATTAAAAACAAACAGAAATCAAATAATATGAAACAAATCTTGCTAATCCATACCTGTTTCTCATCGTCTCTTGGACTTTCGGGAAAAATATCTAAAAAGAGGTTGCAAGAAATAAGAATTCATAAAATTGTCACTATAAAACTGCCACAATCGCAGTGTGTTTTGCGGCGAAAACCGTTGCATGTTCACTATTTCATTTTGAAGTTTGCTTAGATTTTGTTCGTTCCTGGGATCTTAGAGGCTGAGATTTTGGCAAACTCGTTACTTCATTAGTTTAATACATTTGTCGCAAGCGCCTAGCCGAAGTCGCAGGAAAACCCAAATCCAACGTTTTTTTTACAGCCACTTTAAGTGTAGTTCAAAATATTGCAGAGAGTGCGCGCGGAGCCCGAAAAATAGCGATCCATCTAAAAGAGCGCGTTTTTCGTGAACATTTTGTAGTAAGAATTAACTACACCTACCTGGCGCAAATACCCCTTTGATGGAAGATAGCAACCAAATCAAAACTATAAAGATGACAATCTTCGATTTTCCCATATTTACAACTCATTCTAAGCCTAATGCTACATCATTATTGACGTCGCAAAGCTTAATCGACTTCTGATTGGTTAATTTGATGACAAGTAATAAATTCTCAGTTGGAATATCGCTTTCTATAAACATCGCAGGCCCATAAGTGCGTGCGTAGTCCTTTTGGACCCATTTCCGCTTATTTTACCTTTTCTTTTATCTTTTACTACAATAGCTAAGCTGTTGCGTGACTACAAATCTTCCTTGCGTGACGGCTTGGAAAAGTTTAAAGCGCTACATCGGCTTCCGGTATTTTAGTCGATACGATGCCAAGGCCAAGCGCTGTCATTTGCGGTGACTTGAAAAGTCGAATCCCTCTCACTTTTAAAATGCGGCTATCACTTCTGCCTTACATCTTCATACTTTATTCATTCCAAGGCATTTTATACGGCCTTCAAGTCAAGTTTTTACCGGTCATTCTGCGTACCAGGGGTCGTTCGTTGATATTCATCGGATCTTTAAACCTACTAAGTCTGCCATGGATGATCAATGCAGTTTGGGCACCGTTCATTGACTTGTACTTGACAACATCAACTTGGCTTAGAATCACTATCACTGGGATAAGTACATCATTGATATTACTGCATCTGACACAATACAATCAGCTCCTATTCGCTATTGTATTGCTGATACTAAATGTATTTTCATCGTGTCAAGAATTAGTTATCGGTAAAATTTCGATATGCAAACTTAATAACCATCAAGTTAAGAAGGTGAGCTCTATTAAAGTGCTAGCTTACAAGACTGGAATTACAATTGGAGGCGGTGGAACACTGTGGATCGCATCACATCTTTCAATAACCTATCAAGTATTTTTATTTGYGGCTGTCATTTTTATTTCTTTATTTCTATTATTCGATGAGAACAGTTCGCGTCAACTGAGAGTTTCTCGAGATCACCACAACGTCAAACGGGAAGTAAACGTTAGACGACGGAACCCAATCCTCCATAAAATTTATCACAGCATTTCACGTGGTTCCAAGTGGTTGATCGCGTGTTTGCTTGTCTACAAGTACTCATCTCATAGTTGTCAAATGTTGTTTACCATGGCATTAGTTGATCAAGGTATAGGAGCGGATTTTATTGGGTTAATGTCGGGTGTCGTGGGACAAATGGTGTCACTGAGTGTTGCTTTGATAGTTGGCATCATTCTCAGCAAAAACAGGTAAGTAAAAACAGTTATGTAATAAGAACACTTGCACAATACGTGATAAATTATTATAAACTWGACGCTCTTGGAGCGTGAAGTCGGACTATCTATTTTTGAAAATTCTTTAAGACCACTAAATACTGCTAAATTATGCTAATTCTATTGTTTTCTATTGTTTAAGTAAGACTATTTTGTAGTAAATAGTGGAAAGTGTTGCACACATTTATTGTTTGTACTCTAAAATCAAGTAATATCATGATATCTAATACGTTTTTAATTCAAATTGTTGACCTCTCAAGCCAAGAAAATAAATACTTTAAAAAGTAAAAGATGCCTATAAAATAATCAAAGTCGCCTTTTTGTTATTGATAAACAAAGTTTCTTCTTGCTCTAATTTGAAATCTTTGCCCAAACAAGACTGTCTAACGCTAGAGTTCAGCTTCGTAAGCATACTACTCGAAGCTCCATGCGATCCGCACATTCGCGTACTTCTGATGCCTAGACTGATGCATCCCGATGAGATCACGGATACCAAATTTGTAAGCGAATATTTTTTTTCTCTCATAAAAGCGCAACATTTACTAACGATATTCATACAGCTATACGTTTGAGCTTCCGGTCATGTAATACTAGTAACACAGCCAACCCAATAGTTAATTATTAAATTCTTAACTTCCGGTGKTCCAAACGCGACAAAATACATACAGTAGATTGGCTAAAAGGTAAAACTCAAGTCGACCTAGCCTTCGGCTAGTCGACTAATTATGTTCCTCTCGCAGCCGTTACGAGGCTTGTTCCCAAGTCACTGTGATAAATGTGATGTGTGAGACGCTGATTATTTAATTCAAGACCACCACAGATCATATACAGCTATTGTCTTTCAGCTAGCAAAATCCATCGCTACTTTCGGCCGTGCAATCGCCGTTCGACCATTGACATTCGGCATTTTATCCGACAACCTTTTTTGAAACAGCTATATATGGGCTTCCCGTAGAAATATGAATAATGATACCTGATTTTACTTTAGTTTCAAGATACTAATTTAAATTAGTTGCTTTTTTATTGACACAACATCATAGTCATTTCGAGTGTACAGCATCCCCGTCGCGCGGTTCCTGATTGCTCATTTTCGCGAGGATGATTATGCAATGGCGGCTTTCATAACGAGTCTTCTCTGSTATAAGTCATTCTCTTGTTGAGGATTCTTGACTTGATTTCTTCATCATGCTTATGTACATAAAGTTCATCTTCGTGTCAGTTGTTGAAGTTTATCAGCTGCATTGTAGTATTGATGCAAATTTTCAAGATCTCGTGCTCTCTTTTGTGTTTGGTCAGGTYCTTGCGCAAGAGAATTTGTTGTCAAATATAGCAGCGGTTTTTCGCTATGAATTCGAAACTGGAGTATTGGCATTTGCATCTCGTCACAAGAACCTTGGCATGTTGTTTAAATAGCTCTGTGGATGGGCTCGTTTCGAAATTCCACTGAACATCTTTTATTTTACTGTATGAGAGATCAGTGTTCTATGGGAGACGGAGAGGACAATAGAAGCACACCTAGGAGCACGAGCGCGGCGAGTCTTTCTCTAGCTTCTCTTATTTTTCATTGCTCGTTTTCATTTGTCATCGTCTATAAATCAGAGAAGAGATAATAATATATTTTTTTGTCTTTTTCGAGCGCGCGAACGGCAAAGCAAGTCACTGTTCTTTATATAAACATCTCAAATATTTTATAATAAAAATATTATCGTATGAGGAAGTAGCTGATCCCATTAAAGAGTGCTCAATACACATAAAGTGTAGAGCTAGTTATATATATGATATCAAAGAGGCAAGATTTTGCTGTAACTCCGAGTTTCGTGCTACGTGCGTAGCACGAAACTCGGAGTTACAGCAAAATCTTGCCTCTTTGATATCATATATAATAAAAATATTATATATTTTTGATTAAATATCATATGTTTTTGAAGCCAAAGTAATTTTTTTTGTACAGGTTCTCCCCGATACAAATATTGTATGCCACCGCTATACTCGATATATTGAGTGCTGTCGGACAAATGTGGTTCGTGTTTGGTCAAGAAAAGACATCCGAGCCTTCATTTGGTAGGTCTGCATTTACTAACTGCGTCGATGTTTCCAGTGAATAATCTTCGCTCATTTATACATCAATAGCTAATAAAACAGTTGTGATGAAAAGAGAAGGGAAGGRAATTTACTTGATTTGACGACGAAGTCTTAAGTTGTTATCATGGGAATGCACCTCCATCTATATAAAAAAAACTCAAAGGATTCTAGTTTCCAAGAAAACAAATATATTTTCTTTTATCTCCCAGATGAGGCTGCCTTGAAATCATATGCATTCATTCATTCAGTCGATGCAGTGCTGTTTTAACTGAAAAATGTTTTTCTAATTTCAGTTTTGCTGTTATTCATTGTTCAGAACGTTGTGCTTGGTGCGCAAACAACACCGGTGTATTCCCTCATCATAACCTATGTACACAAACACCAGCAACCACTCCAAGCAACACAGTACTCTATCTACACTACTATAGAGACTATAGGAAGCAAATTTAGCCTGTTTTTAACCGGTTTGTTGACTGAGTACTTAGGCTATACAATAACCTATGTCATCTCATTGATGGTAGCAGTTCTATTTGTTGCTATCATCTTTTGTCAACCATCTGACCAAAGAACAAAAGACAAATGAACCAAATAATGTGTAGCATCGCTCTCTATTTTGAAACTTCCGAAAGGATAAATGCTTAAACAATCTAAAGAATTACTAAAAAGGAAGTGTATTTTCACTTTAACTTTCTTTCTTTTTCTTTGCTCGAAGTTTTTCTTTTTTCTTGCTTAACTTTTCAGCGGCTTTTTTCAATTTGTCGGCAAATTGTCTGTGCTGAGCGGGCAGCTCGTAGAACGAGAAGGTGAAGGCACTCGATACTGGAAGCCTATAAATCTGAAACCAAAATAAGATACGTTAACAGAAGTTTATTTTATGAACGCAAAATAAACATACAATACGAAGAAAAGGGTATTTTACGCTGTTCGTGTATTCAATTCCCAAGTGGTTTGTTTCCATAAATGTCATAGATTCTGTAAAAGACGCCCAAGCAAATAGCCACCTTCTTGGTCAAGATTATCAACACAGGAAGACCAAAAAAGACGAAAAAGTCCGTTTCTCCTTAAGTAGTCTTAGAAGGAAACTAAAAGCACAAGGACCCCGCACTAATGGCAACAATTCATTATAATTTTTTTAATTTTTGATGATAAAGTTAAAGAATGAAAACCAACAACAAACCTCATTAAAATTCCAGTTTGTAAACAATGATCCTTTACTTGGGTTTTGTATTTCTTCAAACATTTCCTCCGCTTGTTCTTCTTTCTCCTCAATGACTGATATCATCRGCGGCGGTTCGCTGTCTCTTTCGATCGCCTCATTTCTGATATCTCCCATCACAACATGAAAGTCGTCCTCCAACTCTTCAACTTTGACTGAATCCCGTTTGGAAACTTTGGAAGTGCGTCTTTTTTCGTATTTTGGAAGAGATGAAGTTTTACCAATCTCTGAGAGCGACGTTCTTTCATCTTGCTTTTGTACATGTAATTTCAGTACAGGTTCATGATCGGTCAGTTCAAGTTCCGATTCTTGAGGCAACATCGTGTCTTCATGCTCAAACCAAGATGTCGCATCAGCTACGTGTACATGAGAGTGATTGTCAGTTGTGTTTTCTGTTTCTTGGGATGTGCGACGTCCTTTTGGTGGTCTTCTAACGGTGTCCTTTCTTTCTTTCTTGTTAATTCGTGATGTTCTTTTTTGGCTGTCATGATGAGTCACTATTTCACCGGTTTTGGAGTCTTTACGAGTGTTCGTCTTGTGGGTTGAGATTTGAGTTAACGAATCGACGTCCGACCATGCTGAAAGATATGTCAACAGAAAATGGTTCTTTTTTTTAAGGTCCGCTTCTCGTTATATGATAAGCAGAAGCAGTCGAGAACAGACGAAAATAGTTCGTAGATGGATATCAATATGATGTGGTCCAAGAGTAGCAACTATGCAATTGGCGATCTCATAAGAGASGTAGCCTTTCCTTTTGATACACTTGGCATCGATTTATGGAAGTTGACTACTATTTATAGAGACGGCGTTCAGCTATAGGGACCSATCACTCTAGAAGGTCATCCGTGAAATCAAAGGATATGTCTCGATACTTACCCAATGAAGAACTTCTTCTGTGAGAACCATACGAGAAACTTTCCCTACCTATACCACCGGGTGTCTTGGTTTGTTTACCGGTACGTCTCGGGACTGTAGATTCCTGACTAGGCCTGGTCCCCAAGGGTGTCTTCCCAGTGGGTTGATTGTACGGTGTTTCTGATTGGCTTGGGTATTGAGCGTGTACTAATCGATGATTACAATGATAAACAGAAAGAATTAGTACAGTTAATTTATCTAAATTAAGTGCGAATGATATTATGATTCTCATGCTCATTAATTATTTATGAATCGAGGTATCCAGCCAATCCCTGATTGTAATTTGTACCACGTGCAGTAACTGGAAACCAGAGGAAGTTACTACTACCTTGTAACCAGTTACTTCTATCTTGTTTCTAGTTACTTCTACCTTATTTCCAGGTACTTCTAYYTTTTTTYAAACTATAACTAACTATTAATAATCAAAGTATTCGAAATAATCAATTTAGTATAAAATTAATTTAGTGAAAAAAGGTCTTTGATACATGACTAACGCGTCGGACTGGGATTATTGCGCGGACTTGAAATTCCGTCCAGTCCTCATTGTCGGACTTTAAGAAATTACTTAACAATTGTGAGAGAGCACTGAAAACCATGCATTATTATAGAAAGTGCTGCGATTGACCAATGTTCTTTGATCCTTTGGCGGTTGCCTGTCGTGTAATTTACTTTAAAGGGGCCAAGGAGACGGAGTGCGCAGGAAATKTYCTCGAAGTACAGTTTAAACTCGCGCATAAGAACGCCTAGCTATTTTGGTCGTGGTTCAGTATGATTTGGTTCTCATATAAAGGGTTATAATCTTCAAAATCAGCCTCTAGGTGTTCTTGAATGTTCTTAAAAAAGTTTCTTAAAATACGGAACATACTTGGTTGCCAATAGATGAAATCAATATATATGCGCACACTTTTGATTAATCAATACAATGATGTAACTATTTTAATTAAAAAAWGATAAATCAATGCAACAAAAAGTACTGTTGATCTTTGATATGTTTCCATATAAGAACAACTTTTTTCAGATTGAATGTGTTCTTATATATAAATGATAATTTATTTCCTAAAATCAGGCCTGGGTGTTCTTAATCCACTTGTTCTTATACGCGGGTTTTTATTGTAGTTACTTTTCTGATATATACTGTCCCCCACCTTCTTCAAATGCTTCTTTGAAAAATTTAACTTAAAAGGTCTTGCAGCCTACGCTTATAAGTGTACATGTTTAATCATGTGTTCTTTTCAGTACATTTGACGATAAGTTACCTTGTCTTCTGCGTYGCTTTTCAGTGTAATTCAAAGCTTCTGAAGCTTCCTTAAAGTGATCTACCGAACTAAAATTTGTCTGGCGTTTCGTCTGGGAAGCTTTTGGAACCAAAACATTGCTGGATGTTGATCGACCAATTGATTCATCCGGCAATTTTAGGTTTGACTCAGCTTTAAATTAAACAATAAAGATTCGTTTGGTAGAAAAAAGACTTCAAGTCTTTGCTAAAATGAGGAAAGATTAGCAAGACATGAAATGTAAATAAAGAAAAAGGGGTAAAAAAAAAACAACAACAAAACACTGAAAGAATTTTAAAGAGACAAAGAGTGTAATCTGGCAGCAATGTTTCATGTCTACCTTCCCACACTATCGTTGGCTTGGGGACACTTCGTTTGTCCTGCGTCTGTGTCGTTGATCCTTGTGTAAGTTCTTTGCTTTGTCGCTGTGTATCCTGTCCTTTATCCCTCGGTTCTCGTTTCGATTCTATACCTTTTCTTGACTGCTTCAAATACGATTCCTTGTAAACAAAGTTTGCCTGTCTAGACCCTCCTCCAACCGAAATTCTTCTGGAATCCTTTTCAGCGGGTTCATTTTCCATCATGGTATGGCTCTCATCAGTTCTTTTSCATTCTCTTCTGTCAACGAAGCTGCCTTTCTTCTCCCCTTTTAAATGATCTTTCCGTTCTTTTTCGAGTCCCTTTTTCTGTCTTTGTGCGTACAAGAGGCTTAAAAGTTTGTTTCTGATGCTATCTGGCAGGTCTTTAACTCGTATGTACTTTGTATTATATGTGCTTCGAGGAAAACCAAATTTCACATTAACTTCAAATTTTTCACCAATGCCTAAGTCAAAGCTTGACTCGGTACCGTCAACTGAAGAGGAAAAAGATTCTTGGTGCGAAATATTGTGATCTGTCTCTCTTGATATCTCAARAGCACTATCAACTTTACTTCCCTTGACATCTGGCCTTGAAACCAATTTATTCTTTTCTTTTCCCGATTTCGCGTGTGCTTCATATTGTCTTGAATCTGTTTTGGTGGTCGGTGAACAGTCGCGTTTCCCTACTCTTGCGTATTCGTCATATTGATCGTCTGTAAACGACAGCGCTTTCACAAGATTCGTGGAAGGTTCCCTGGGAATCATTCCCTCAAGAACAATAGCACCACTTTCAATAAACAATTGTATGGCTTCATCTTCGTTAAGTCCATCAAGCTGCAAGGTCTTCAAAATTTCCTCATTGATGTGGAACTTTTCGCCAGTTTCCTCTGTGACTGTAAACACACCAGGAGCAGTTTGCACCAGTTCTTCTTTGACACCGATTCGTTCTGCCACGTCACGTGACAGCATTGTGTCACGTGAAGTCTCGTGTTTCTGGGCTAAGAAGTGAGATGTGCTTGTAGTGTGGTGATGGGTCTTACGGTGAACATTTAGGAAAGGACGACCACTGAGTTCGGTCTTTGATTTCCTGGAATACAACAAGAATTCGAAAAAAAAACATTCATCTTGTTGCGCAACATATTAATGTTGCTTCTCATATCTGCCGTTTCTTGTACTTCTCTAATCTATTTTAGGCACTGGCCAATGGCAACTTATCGTGGAAAAAAGATCATGAAAAACGAGAAAAACTGATGATAAACTTAGAGAGCAGCAATGTTGCGTTGGCCCAAAAAATCTATATTTCCAAGATTTTTGTCTGAATCTGGGATTGCAGGGTTAGCACCGCTATCAAGAGAAAGTAGCCGTTCATCTCACGTGAATCTCTATGCCAAACTGCCTTACCTTGGTCCATGCTTAGGGAACATGGTGTATTCTTTTGTTAATCTGTGCCTTTTTTCCTTAGGGTACATCGGTATGAATCTCAATTTGGTCCCTTTTRCAATAACTTCCGGTCCTCTCGTTGGTTGCACTTCATTGTCACAGGTTTCCGGTGCGGCGCCTGTAATTGTCCAGTGCTCTAGACATCGTGGGCAATGAAATATAGGAATACAACGTACCTCAGGACTATAGGCCTTCTTGCGTACCTTGGATTGAATAAGATTCAAACCTGAAACGACACTCCAACGGTGGACATAATCATCAAAAGAATCAAGATATTCCTCCACTCTCGAATGATCAACTAAATTTACATGCTAAAATTTAAAATAGTCTCAAAGTTTCAAGTTGTCGATCAAGAGAGACTAGTAAACAATCGAGGTTGACTAAAGTGGTTGCTAATAACTCGTGAAACAGAGTGCCATCGCAAAAGTGTAGAAATTCAAAAGATGTGTTACAATCAAAAGACAAAGAAAGGCATGCACGTCCACGCAAAATACAAAGCAATAAAGTGTAGAACGCTAAAGTATATTCCAAAAGTTAATTAAAACCACTCCTAACAGGAACGAAAAAAAGTACCTCTAAATAGATTCTCATCTTTTTTACAAACAGCAACTTTCGCAGTTCTTCTTCATAGTCTTCTTCATCAACATTTGCCCCATACATACTTTGAAGCCACGGTTGAAGCTGGGAACAAATATTCTAAAGAAAGAAACTCATCACTTCTAATGCACGAGCTAGAACGTTTTTCTATTTTGTAAAGTTGTTATTTTAACTAGTGAAAATAACACATTCAAAGTTTCTCTATAAAGTGGAAGTTAGAAAAAGATATTTTACGACATAATTTGCTTTCATATCTAATTATATGATATACAGATACTATACATGGACGCGCGGAGATAGGAATTTTATCTTCTCGTGTTAAAAATCTCTTCAAAACTCGAAGATAAAATCCGTATCTACGCGCGCACATGTAATGTCTTCTATATCTTCTTGCTGGTTA